GGGTAACCCAGGAAGTCGGCGGCAGGCTAAGCACCGATTTCAGATGCAAGCTGGAGAGCATCACGCTTCTCTCGCATGATGTGCGTGCGCTGCTTAGAGGACCTTGTCGCGGTAGCCATGGAGCCTGAAAATGTAAAGTGAGTGCGAAGATCCGTACGTGCCCGTCGCGCAATTGACGTTAGAATTGTTTGTCTGCAAACCAGTCAATATATTTCCGATGCGATTGGGTAGTATTATAAATAAGGAGCCACTCAAAGAGTCTAAAGTTGGAATCATACACTGATTTAGGATATGTTTTCCTTTGGTGGATTGCCTGGTGCCAATTTTTTTTCAGTGGATAGCGCTAGAGTCCACGTATTCTTTTTCAGGCGTTGCCCAGGTTCCAGGCTTTTAGTGTCAATTGATCCGGATATTGCCCAGATTTTAATAAATGATAGTAACTATATTTTAAGTACGATCGACTACCGAAACCAGCTTTTGCTGAGAGTCCCTTGAGATAGACCTACAAGGGCAATATTAATGGATATTAGCTCCATGAATAACCTGGAAAGGTGAATGCAGAAGATATGCTCGGCTCGCTCAATGCAGTTAAATCACAAAATATCAGAAACACAAAGAAATCTCTAATCACTACAATGAAAGCACGCACAGCACACATACATAGATTGCGCAACATTAGTACGGTAGCCACATCTGAGACAAGCGATAAACCTGCCCGAACGGCGGAAACGGCTGACCACTCTACCTATCAATGATAGGCCATCATCAGATGAGATGTATAATTCATCCATCTCATTCACGAACCCGAGGCAGCGCACCAAAGAGGGAATGTACAGCGCTTCGTCGGTAGCTTGCAGCTGTTCAGCAGTAAGTAAAGGTAGTTCGCTCCTATGCAGTAATCTTTCTCTGCATTACGAAGTATTACTGATATTATTTTGCATGCGTGCTATTATACATAAATCGAATGAAGAACAGCATTGATGCAAGTGCGTATAATTGATGTTGTTTGCTAAGGGCATCATACTCAGCCTGCCAAAGCCGATCTTCACAGACGTTGAACCGTGTGGCCGATGCTTTGTGGTTGCCCTGTCTTCTTGATGCGCTTTCGATTGACCAGGATTTCTTCACCGGACTCGTCAGGTACGCTGCGCGACTGCTGCGCGAAAAGTAAGTGGCAGCTATGGCCCATTTTCAGGTGATACCAGCAGAGGAAATACCCAGTACACAGGTCCACTGGCCACCCAGTGCGCGGCTGCCCTTCCACCTCCGTACACGCACAGCAGATGCCAAACTGCGCCAATATCGCCATATATTCTCGTGCGCGGTTAACCTCTGGGTTGAAGGTTCGTACTGGAGACACAGCACGGATGTGAACTAATTCAGAATCTAAGTTGCGCAGGAGAAAATCCATGCTGGCGCGTGCGACCACAATTTCCTGAAACAGGTTTCCTAGAATAGTTTTGCAATTAAACAGTAGACAACTGGTGAAATAAATAACGGGAGCAGGCTAGAGCGAACATGAAATACATTATTGCATCCTCGACCAAGATGAAATATATAATGCATAGCACCAAACCCACATCTGCTTACCATCCGTCTGCACCATCGCCACGTTCCAAAACCTCCATAAGCAGGATGTTGAATGTAAATGTGGTTGATTAGGTTCGTGTAGTCATGTTAGATATCCTGCTTCTACTACAAGCCGCAGCAGCAGCGATAGTAACCCATACAGTCGTTATTCTCGTCAAGGATTGGCTTGAAAAAGACGTCGCAGATCTGTTTCCTGGTGTAGCAAGATAGTGGATATCGCGTTGGGGAGAAGAATGTCCATGCCGAGCACGAAATCTATAAATTAGCCTGGCAAACAACTCAGAGCAGCAGCACGAACGGTTGCTTGTGGAGTAGCTCAGCGGCAGCTTTAGGATTGGCTAAAAAGTACGATAATATGGTTACAAGTGGTAGATATTCGATTTTAAATGATGAAATAAGTTAATGTCTGGATTGAATGCCCCGAAATAGGTGACGGGGGAGTAGTGTCAGCTTGAAGTACATAATGGTACAGTAAAATGGCAGTTATTGTTAACCGCAATATATTTTATGAAACCCTGTCGAGCGTTTGTAGAGCGGAGGGGCACGTTGTCTCAGGCAAGTGTGGTGAAGTGACAGTTGGCTTCTGGGAACAAGGGACTGATTGATGGAATGTGACCCGATCCAGTTCTGAGTCTCATGGTGGACGACGGTGCGTCAGTGATTACGTCATCATCTGTGAAGATTACGCAATCACCAGAGTGGATTGACATGGTGCAATCATTTGGAACGCGATCTACCCTCAAGGATGCGATCTGCCGTGGACACATCG